CTGTGTTTCGTTTTGTTGTGTTATTTTGTTGTTTTGATGTGTCTTTTTTGTGTCTGTCTTTGTTGCTGTTGCTTGTTGTTGTCTTGCTGTCTTGTTGTTAATGCTACCTGTCTCGCTGTTCGTAGTTTCCGGTGACATTTACTATTTATTGTTGGCATATAGGATAGGAAAATATTGCGTTATTTACTTTTCTTTCATCTCAGATAATGGAGAAAGCAATACTGCCTGTTTTGTGAATTTTCCTTTGGTGGAACTTACACCAAATAGAAAATAATGGCTCATACATAGGCAGTGATTAAAAATAATAATAATAATAATAATAATAACTGACAGAATCACATGCTATATTTCCTTTCTTAATCATCTCTTTATCTAACATCTTCCCATTGGTTATCTTCTTGGCTATGAAAGACATACCAGTGTTAATAAAAAGGAAGATATTTAAATAAGAGAGTAACGTCTGTGAATACTTTGGTACATAGACTATAGTGTTTCACTTGTCATTCTTATGATTACTAAAAAAAAAATAAAACGTATAAAATTATCAATCTGTACAGGTATGACTTTACCTCAGAGAGGAAACAAAGGAAACTAATTATCAAATAAAAAGTGAAAATCACTAATAGGATGTCTTTCTGGAAAATATAAATTTTCCTATCATGAAATAAACAACAAATGCCATTTAAAAGACTGAATTTATTTGTCTTTCTAGAAATTAAATAAATTACCATTATCAATTTTGATCACAAATAATACTATATATCTATAATGTATGTACAATAAATATCAACAATCTAAAATTTTGGACACAAATTTTGCTGACTTTTTTTTTATTATATCTTACCATTAAGCATTAAACTCTCACAATATAAATATAAACATATTTTGACTATACAAAAGCTTTCCCTGTATCACTATTTCTTTACTTTCTATGTACCTAATAGAAACATTTATGATCTTACAAAACAATAAATACTTCTAAATAATTACAATAAATATAGTTTACCGTGACAATGGCAAATAAAGATATAAAGGTGAATGAAGAGTTTAAAATCCCATGAGATGAAATGGACATATTTTAATGAAATCTCTTGCATTGTCATATCATAGGCTATACATTCAAATTTCAACAGGAGTATGAATACACTGACTAATGATGTGAATATTGGATTTCCTCATTTTATATATTCATGAAAACCTTTTTGTTTTATGAGTTGAAGTACTAAGAGCAAACACCGATTTGTAAAAATTGATGAAATGGCATAAGGATAACTATCCCGTGCTATAGTTGTGACACTTATCTGGCAACTTAGTGGTCAACAGCGCATTTGATTTTATTAAACATATAAGACACAGCTGTTGATTAGCCCATATATACAGATAATAACAACAAATACTGTCAATTATGAATGGCAGTACTTGTCACTGCTTCATGAATTAATGACACCAAATGTTCTGTTGACCACAAGGTTGCCAGGATACAAAAAAAAATAATCTTGAGACAAAAAATAATAATTCAGAATATAATAAAATTGATAACCCAGTAAAGAAAACATGAATATACAACACTGATGGTTCAATTTCACTTCTCAAAGAATCAAAGGGCAACATATCCTTCACTAATCACTGTATTTATGACTGAACTTCTTGAATGCAATCAACGCAACACTTGAATGGCTGTTAAGTCCACATTTTTTCTCCTTTCCTTCAGATATGTAAAGAACACATCAATCCTTAATCTTGATATTTATTAATGGATCAATGAGCCATATGATTTCCTCCTTTACAATCTAAATATACTCCTTAGAAAAAAACTGAACTCATTATTCCTTTGTCTTCACACGTAAAAAGGTCCAAAAGAGCAAATATGTTTTCTCTGTCTGTTGTTTAACATTTGAAACAAATAAATGTGCTAGACATTAAAGGTCACATAAAACTATGGTTGAGTATTGTGTAGGAAAGGGTAAAGAGGAGTTAAAGATTAGAATAAAATGTGTTAGCTGTCAAAGATAAGAGAGCATTAGAGGATAGTGTGGTAGTAAAAAGGGAAAAGGCAGGAGTTAAGTGAACTTAGAGGAGAGATCAGAAGAAAGGAGAGGGTTAAGAGGGGTAGGGAAATTGAGTGAATTATAGTGTATTTGTCAGTGGGGAAGGTATAGGAAAAATGTTCACGGAAAACAGAGATGCCTGTTGGAAAAATAGGAGAAGAATCTGGGGAAGGGGGTGCGTGTTAGATGTCAAAGATTAGTGTTACAGGAAAATATGGTGGCGGAAAGGGAAAAGTGGGAAGCTAATGAAGTTGATCAGGGATTAGTAAAATACGAAAGGTTAAAGGGGTAGAGCAAATGAGTGAATTGCATTGTATCTGTGACTGGGGAAGAAATGGGGATATTGTTCAAGGAAAACAGAGGCAGCTGTTGGAGAAGTAGGAGGAGAAGAATCCGGGGGATGAGAAAAGGGATTGGGGAAGGTGATGAAGTATCAGGAAGATTGTCTGGAGGGGAGGGGTCTGGAGAAGGACACTGTTGTGAGTATTCAAGTGGGAGCGGTAGAAAGAGTGGGGTATGTTGGGAGGGTGTAAAAGGACACAAAACATTTTTTTTCAGATATATTTCACAAAATATTTTGTCATAAATCACTGATATAATTTTTTTCTGATATTGGTATAAAAGTTTTCTTTGAACATTAACAAACTCATGTCTATGCACAATGTCTTAATCAAATGCCATATGCATGATTGCAATAAGCAAAAGTCCATTAGTGGCGTACCTCCCCACGTGTTTAACAGGTCTCGCGTGTGCCGCCTGAGAACTAACCATAGCTGGGCTTTAATAGTCGTTTGGTAGTTTCCTCATTCATGTACCTATACAATACGTTAGCTAATTCAATTTGATCCAAAAATGTTCAACCCCCGAGACAGTCCCCTTAACCAGGGGAATACCATGCCCATGGCTCCCGGAGGTCGTTCATGACTGACACAAAGCCAGCCTTTCATTCTTTCAGCACAGCTCTCACACCTTAAGAATGGGATAGAAGAAGGGGATGAAGAAGATACTCAAGAGGAAAGGGGAGAAGAAAAGACCAAGCAAAATTAGTTGAGGCGAGGCCTGAGGCCCAAGATAGGGGTGATCCCCTACATTGGGCCTCAGTCTCCATCTCCTAAGCTCTCCCACAACAAAACGAACAAGGTATAGGGAGGATTTTCTCTATCTGTATCCTTCTCTGCTTCTCTTTCTGTGTGTCTCTGTCTTTCTCCCTCTCTCTTAGCAATGTTGTTCTTCTTCCAACATTTGCAACTGAATTATCCATCCATCACCAATCACTACACATTTCCAAATGTTCTAATCACCCACATTTTGTTCTCTTACTCCCAGCAAGAATGGAATTCCTCAGTCCTTTTCAGCCATAAATACAATGCCTATATTCTCAAAAGAACAGAAGAAACAACGCAGCACTGGCCTCCAATGATGACAAACAAGAACCAAACCATCCAGTAGACGGCTGGATATCCTCCTCTCATTGTCCTTGCCTCCCTTGAGGGAGACTCAATGGTGCATTGACCAGCTGCCGTTTTGCCAGCCTTTCCAGGTACTGCTTATGGATATTTTGGACAGTGGACTTGCTCAGCTTCTTGTTGAGGGTCCTGGAGAGTTCCCTGGCAGCCTTATTGGGCCCCATCCTTATGCATGCCTTGGCAATCAGGAGCCGTTCCTCGGGCGTCCAGCGTGTGTAGCCTCCACGGACTCTGACCATCGCCGCTGCTGCTGCTGAGCCCTCAAGTGCTACCATCTGTTGATTGAAGGAGGTATCACATCCTGGACTTTGGGCTTTGGACACTCCAAACACGCCATTCTGGATTTTTCTACCTCTTCTTGGTTTTCATAAAGGTGGGCTAGAGCACATCATCCTAACCACTCTTTCTGGGACAGGTATCAAATTGGACTCTGTTTTGGTCAAATATGTGGGACTGTGAGAGCATAATAGGCCAAGAGGCCACGGTAACGATACTTATCTTGAGGCCTAATGATACTGGTGTTTCTCTTCTAATATGACTCATATAAAGAAAAAAAATAATTTTCATCAAAAGAATAATAAATGACACGGGGAAAAATAGAAATGAAAGGCAAAACGGAAAGACAAAAGCTGAAGAAATGAACAAATCAAATAAAAATTCACCAAGATCCCTAACAAATCCTCATTTGCGCATTAATCAACTTCAATCAAATTAGATAGAGAAGCAAAGAAAAAAAAGAAAAAAAAAGAAAGAAAGAAAAAAAAAAAACATCATTACACATATGGTAAAAACATTCCTATCTTTTAAACAAAACCTAAAGATACATTCAACCTTTACTTTCTCACAAACTCTTAATCTCTCACCCTATTACTCTAAAACTGAAAATATTAAATATAAAATCATCAATTGACTTTATTGAACACACAGTGAATAAGCCCTGTTACTTCAGTTTATGTTATATTCTCCTTGAATTTTCAGTGTAGAGTATGAATATCATTAACTTATCTTCCTGTATGATTTCTACAGAGAGCAGGTATGAGATTATGAATAAAATCTTGGTGATTGCAAGCTGCTACTCCACAGACTTTATGTGAAATGTGGCACCTTGGCGAAATCTAATTCCATTCGGGAACTTGACACTAAGGAAATGGATTTGCTGAGCAACAATAAGGTGTCTATGAAGTGACAAACTGCATATATACTTGTGGCAGAAAAGGAGAAACTTAAAAAAATCTGACTGAAAACTATGACAAAGATGAATGCTACAAAAGTGACTGAAGTTGCAAATGAGTTAGGTGTGTAATTTTGGACACAAAAACAATCAAGGGAATTACTGTGAGAGGACATCAAGTGGCAGCTGTCTTGGTGCTATCAGTCTCCAGACTAGTAAGGAAGCCAAATACACACATATTTCAATTAGGGTGAAATTAATGACTAATCCTATGTCACTAAGGTCACTCTTCACAGTAAGTGGTCCTGTAATGACCCCCACAAAGTAATGGATGCCAGAAGTGTTTAAAGATACTGGTTTCTTACAGGCACAGCTACACATACTCCCCTTGCCTCATGGTGATATGGTGTTTGCATTTCCAAGAGTGCACTGCTGGAGAGACTCTCAATTATCTAAGTCTAACGTTATTCAAGAAATCAACAATTTAGTACCTAGGAACAGGTGTCCTTTTCTCTAGACCAGCTGATAAAATATAAAATCACTGGGAGATTTCACTGACACATTCTGGAATGTTGATCATGGGTCAACATTCAAATAGCCTGATGGCATCATACCTTTTATAATATTTGATGGATTTGGATTTTTGTTCTTTGCTTCCAAAGAAATAACTTAACATGATATCAAATAGGATTGTTCCTGTTAGCATCAGGAAGCTGCATTACTCAATGCTGCTCATTTTCTTGACATGAATCCTGTTCTTGACAAGTTGAAAAAAAAAAAAAACATTGAGGGCAAAGGTTACAATCAGAGATCTATCAAGAGATTTAAGCATAATGTTGAATAAAAGCCATGGGTAATTCAAAGATAATCATCTGTGACACAGACAATGGTGCAAAATTGGGGTTTGGTAAGCACTACTTGACAATGGGGGTCTTTGGATGGGTATTTGGTTCACTGCATATCCTGTGTCCTTGACCATGCCCTACAAGATTTATCTCATGCAGAAGGTGAGAGTAATCAAGCAGGAACAAACTGAAAACTATATGGGAATAAACCAACTAGCACAATTATGCACAATCTCTTACACACCCTGCATGAAAATACAAACCTCTCTCTATTTGTCTACAGCCCTGCTAGTAAATAGCCTTATTGTTTACACCCCTGCTGTTACAAACTCTCTTTATTGACCAGATTGGTTTATTTCTATTATGTTTACTTAATTCTATGTTAGCAATATATAATGCGACATATATGATACATGGTTTTAGTAGAGAACAAAATTTATAAAGATTACTTTTGAATTGAATAATAAATGGTTTTAGTAGAGAACAAAATTAAGAAAAAAAATTATAGAAATATAGTTACTCTTTGAATATGAATGAATATGGGAATAGATTTCCATATAAAATCTTGTTTCCACTATATATGTGTAATTAGATGTATCTATATATATTCAAAGTTATAAATATAATATATAAATATATCGTGAGGTAACTATATCGGTAACTCATATGGCTTAACATAACAGTAAGGTGTGTGAAAGGGGAATGTGGGAGAAGATCGGAATTTATGATATATGACATACAGTACCAGAATTACTTCTCAACACTCACTATATTTCATTCATAAAAAACATAACTGTGACAGTTAGGTGTGCCTGCAAGGGGTGAGGGTATGGGGGTCGATATTTTGGGACTAGCAGAATGAAACTTGCTTATCAGTAGAAGATATATAAATATACATTACATATCTCTCCTTCAGAACAAAAAAGTAAATAGGAAAAAACTAGTTTTTGACAGGCCTTCCACAAATCTAGTGAAAAGTAAAGCATGCACAGCAGTCTCCATATTATGAAGTGAGAACATTCAGCCCACCGCTCTTCTATCATATGAAAAGAGGCATAAAGGAATAGTAAAACCAAGGCATTTGTCTAAGGAAAAAAGTACCAAACACAATACCACAAAGCCATGATACCACTGCATAACAAACAGTGAGCAATTCATCATGGACTTGAAGCATTCACATAACACTGACATTTCTATCTATTGAAAAAGAAAACAGATATCAAATCCTTTACAATTCACAAAGAGGATATGTACCACTGATCGGTATATTTGTTATAATGTAAATAATCATAATTTTTCCATTTCCTTCACTGAAAATAAAACTTTATTACATAGAAATAGTTCCATTATATATCCTACGTATCTTAAAATATATGATATAAAACCTATCTGCCAAAAGAATCATGGAATGTCATACTTCTATTTTTAAATCCATCAACCCATTATGGGGGTATCAGTCTCCTTGATGGGGGGGGTGAAAAAAATAACACCATACTATTAAAATCTTTATTGATGTACTTAATCATTACGGGAATAGGATATCATATACCGAAGAGTAAAACTGCATAGACAAAAAAGAAATACTGATAGAAAGCATTTCTATATATAGTAAAATCTCACAATTTCTAAAGATTACTGAATGAATAACAAATATGCTGTTGAGGTTGATGGCTGAGCTGCTGTGAAACTGAATAACATCTTCCTGATGTTCTTGTTTTAGGCTTCTAGAACACATATTCCTTTGGAATTTTGCATCATTCTCTACGACACGCTCCTGGCAGGTTATCTGAAGTCAGCCACACTTAAATGCACCAATCTGTATTCCTCAGGTGCCACTAATACCTTTCATATTGCTGAGTGACTAAAGTACTTCCTACTTGGCTAATGTCCTTTGATAAAAATGTTGGGATGTTTTAGGTTCAGGGCATAAGTGGTGCTTTGAGTTTTCCTCACTTAATGGACGGTGATAAAAAAGGAAGAGGGAACTGAATTCCTCTTCTCATTGGCACTCTTTCAGACAAAATCCATCACATTCATGCCAAAATATGGTGTTAGTTTCACTATCAAAACTCTGTTTATCTTAAAGAGTTTTTCTGTTGTGATGAGCAGTACCAAGACATTTTGTAATGTGCCTTGACATCCTTTTATTTCTGAACCATTTCCATCATCTATTTTTTTATCTTACAGATGAAATGAGCTGCCACCATCTGATATTCATGAAGCATGTTTATATCCAATCTTGAGTGACTGCTTCTAAATTCAACTGCTGCAGCTGCCTCCATGCCCCTCCCAGCAGAGCCTGAATCACAATGCCTCTCTTGCCATTCCATAGAACCTTCTGCACTTATTTTCTTTTCTTCAAGTCAGTTCATTTTCTTTCAATTTTTTTTCCAAAAAGTAATGTGATCAATAATTTTTACAGCCCTAGTTATCTTAGATTAAGGTAAATGCAGAAACTGTCCACATTTAAGGCCTTTTTTTCCTTGGCTTATTGATAATTGCCTGTTTTGTTTTTGTTTTTTCAGTGTAAAAAATAAAGTGGAAAAATTACAAAATCCTGACAATTCTTGAAACAAAATATAAAGAAAGCTGAAAGACTAACAAAAAAAAAAAAGTTATTTTCTCCATTCAGTCTTTAGAGTAAGAATATGAAAATGGCAAGTCATGCTTTTGTTACTAAGAATTTGAACCAATGTTGTGTGAAGGATGTGAAATGCTATGAAATAATGTAAAATTTCCACAAGATTCTGATTGACATTTCCAGCTTGATATATTGTTTCCATGGTATTTTGTAGGAGTAGGAACTTAAAGAATGAAGATAGAATGCCTTTAAAGTATTCTAGTTCTCTTTCATTTCCACAATGACATACAAATCATCTAAAACTTCATTAGACGGCAGAGACTGCAATTTAGCTAGGAACCTCAGTTCATCAACCATCTACATCATCATCACTATCATAATAAAGAAAAATGCTTCTCCTGGGTGTTTTTTCATGAACATCCTTTTCAAACTTTTGTTTTTCGAAGCACAGGCATACGAGTTTAAATCTCAATTTTGTTGTTTTTTGTTTGATGTAATGATGTAAATTTCCTGTTTGTGTCTCCTTATATACGGCAATTTCCACAACAACAGATTCCTTTGGAGGGTGTGACAAGCGAGTACTTTTCTTGCAAAGTCTATGGGCAATAGAAACCCTAGAACAAGGCTGCTGATATTTTCTAATGTTGAAAAATATAAAAAATAAAATCAACTCTCTCTCTCTTTCGCTCTCTCTCTCTCTCTCACTTTCTCCCTTGCTCTCTCTCGCACTCTAGCACTAGCACTAGCTCTAGCGCCCACTCGCTTCTTTGCTCTCTCTATCTTCTCTCTCGCTCCTTTGCTCTCTCTCTCTCTCTTGCTCCTTTGCTCTCACTCTCTCACTCTTTGCTTTGTGCTCTCTCTCTCACTCCTTTGCTTCTCTTCTCTCTCTGCTCTTTGCTCTCACTCTCTCACTCCTTTGCTCTCGCTCTCTCTCTTTGCTTTCGCTCTCTCTCATTGCTTTGCTCTTGCTCTCTCACTCCTTTGCTCTCGCTCTCTCACTCCTTTGCTCTCTCTTCTCTTTGCTCTTTGCTCTTCACTCTCTCACTCCTTTGCTCTCGCTCTCTCAAAGCTCTCAACTCCTTTGCTCTTGCTCTCTCACTCCTCTCTCATCTCCTTTCGCTCTCTCACACTCCTTGCTCTGCTCTCTCCTTTGCTCTCGCTCTCTCACTCAAAGCTCTCTCACTCAGCTCTCGCTCTCTCAAACCTTTGCTCTGCTCTCTCACACCTTTGCTCTTCTCTCTTCATGCTCTCTCCTCCTTTGCTCTCGCTCTCTCAAACTCTCTCACACCTTTGCTTTCGCTCTCTCTCACTCCTTTGCTTGCTCTCTCACTCCTTTGCTCTTGCTCTCTCACTCCTTTGCTCTCTCTCTCTCTTGCTCCTTGTCTCACTCTCACCCTTTGCTCTCGCTCTCTCAACCTTTGCCTTGCTCTCTCACACACCTTTGCTCTTGCTCTCTCACTCTTTGCTCTCGCTCTCTCACTCCTTTGCTCTCGTCTTCTCACTCCTTGCTCTTGCTCTCTCTCCTTTGCTCTCTTGCTCTCTCAACCTTTGCTCTCTCTCTCTCCTTTGCTCTCGCTCTCTCACTCCTTTGCTCTCTCAGCTCTCACTCCTTTGCTCTCACTCTCTTCAAACTCCTTTTGCTCTTGCTCTCTCAACTTTGCTCTCTTCTCTTCCTTTCTCTTCGCTCTCTCTCCTTTCTTCGCTCTCACACCTTTGCTCTTGCTCTCTCACTCCTTTGCTCTTGCTTGCTCTTGCTCTCTCTCACTCCTTTGCTCTTTTTCTCTCACTCCTGCTCTGCTTTGCTCTCACTCTCTCACTTTGCTCTCTCACTCCCTTTGCTTCTTGCTCTCTCACTCCTTTGCTCTCACTCCTCTCTCACTCTTTGCTTTTGCTCTCTCACTCCTGCTCCTTTGCTCTCTCACTCCTTTGCTCTCTCTCACTCCTTTGCTCTTGCTCTCTCACTCCTTTGCTTTCACTCTCTCACACCTTTGCTCTTGCTCTCTCACTCCTTTGCTCTCACTCTCACTCCTTTGCTCTTGCTCTCTCACTCCTTTGCTTTCGCTCTCTCACTCCTTTGCTCTTGCTCTCTCACTCCTTTGCTTTCACTCTCTCACTCCTTTGCTCTTGCTCTCTCACTCCTTTGCTCTCTCTCTCACTCCTTTGCTCCTCTCACTCCTTTGCTTTCACTCTCTCACTCCTTTGCTTTTGCTCTCTCACTCCTTTGCTCTCGCTCTCTCTGCTCTCTCTCACACTCTTTGCTCTTGCTCTCTCACTCCTTTGCTCTTGCTCTCTCACACCTTTGCTCTTGCTCTCTCACTCCTTTGCTCTTGCTCTCTCACACCTTTGCTCTTGCTCTCTCACTCCTTTGCTCTTGCTCTCTCACACCTTTGCTCTTGCTCTCTCACCTTTGCTCTTGCTCTCACTCCTTTGCTCTCACTCACACCTTTGCTCTTGCTCTCTCACTCCTTTGCTCTTGCTCTCTCTCCTTGCTCTGCTCTCTCACTCCTTTGCTCTTGCTCTCTCACTCCTTTGCTCTTGCTCTCTCACTCCTTTGCTCTCGCTCTCTCACACCTTTGCTCTTGCTCTCTCACTCCTTTGCTATTGCTAAAACATCTTACATCACATTCATTTTCCTACATCTTCTAAATATCCAAAAAAAAAGGAAGTATTCTCTGTTTCCCTTACAAAGGTCTGTATTTACACTGATCATCCTCATACAATGTATTTACAAATCCTGTTTGTGTTAACATATGTTTGCATCCCAATCTCAGTTTGCAGTACAGTGTATAATTTAATGTCTCCTTTGTAGTTTGAAGAAAAATAAAACTTCTGTCCCAGTGTTTTTTCCATCACTAAATATTCTTTTGTATAACATTATGACAATGTATATATATTTTTTTTCCTCTTTCCTTTTTGGAGAGAAATTTTAACTCATTCCACTGATAATATTTCTTGTTTCCGGCATACTGGTCATACAAAGAAATTTCTTATCTATATAAGGATATAAGGATATATAGGATTGATATCCTGGTCTTCAGTGTTTTAAGATGCACACAATTACACATGTATAGCTTTCTATAATGGCTTATGTCAAGAAAGAAAGTATCATGTGTGTTCACTGTAGGATTACAGGTGAATTAATAATGATAAACTATTAAAAGGAAAGTAAGATAAAAATATATAAAAAATGCAACTGCCAATGAAATAAATATAATAAAAGCAAGCCCAAGTACTTGTTTCTCTCATCTCAGGGTATATGTTGATTTTTATCTTTTTCCTTATTCCAGAAGAAGAAGAAGAAGAAGAAGAAGAAGAAGAAGAAGAAGACAAAGAAGAAGAAGAGGAAGAAAAAGAAACTCACACATACACCCGGATGAGTACACACACACACAACACACACACACACACACACACACACACACACACACACACACACACACACACACACACACACACACACACACACACACACACACACACACACACACACACACACACACACACACACACACACACACACACACACACACACACACACACACACACACACACACACACACACACAAAGGAGGCGGGGATAAATGAATGAATATAAAGGGAAAGATTTTTTTTTAAAGGGAAAAAAAAAGAAAAAAAAAGAAAAAGAAAATTGCTCTCCATATTTGTACCACCTAGAAATGCACACCCAAGAGAGAGGAGAGATCATACCCTGGCCATGCAGTAATCCTAAAGTGAACACGCGGAAAGGAAAACAGGACACTGACCCCTTGTTGTGCTAGAAGCTGTGGCGTTTGCTGGCTTAACATGGGTGACGATGGTTGGAGGATGCCCACCCCACTGCAGCCTTCTCCAGAAGTCATGTCCGATTGTACTATGCCGTCTTGCCACTGTAGATGATAAATATACAAATATATAGTGATGTTGCATTCCCTTCCTAAACTACAATAACCATACAATAAATAAAAAAATAACACGACAAATACTTATCAATAACCTAGGATTAATAATACAACAATAAAAAGAAAACTGGGAAACAATATAATCTTCCCTGAACTAGGAACACTGATTTAGTACCCAAATAGAAAAAAAAACAAAACAATTCTGCTTTAAAATGCGGCATGAATTTTACACGGGATGGATGGGTTAACACAGCTACACCAAAGGTTACAAATATGGTACTTAGCAAGAGAATGCTTAAACTTTTGTGTTAAAGGGGGCTTTAAATATTGGTGACGGACATCTGTGAGCATGTAGCAAAGTTCAGGGAAATAATTCTCCATGGATTTTGAAAAGCCAAGAATATGACACAACATTCTAGCAGCTATCATTATAAATCCCCTCTCTATCATGTCCCATGCAGCAGAATCGCATTCCACGGGATGTAGTATTGGAAGCACCGGCGAGTTAACCATTACCAATATGATGAGATCTCACCATTTGGCAGGCTGATGAACATGGAAAGTTTCACAGCACGGAATACTAAATGGAGATAGATTCATAGATTCCTCAGACTTTGCATGGGTATAAACTGAAAAAATCCACAAAGAGCGCACAAACCTCAATCATCTCCGAAGGTCCTGGGTTCATTTCACTTGTCTGCAGTCCAGAGGCGTTGAGGTGTTCAAACTGTGGATCACTGTATTCTGCTGAGCCTGTGTGTCCTGATATACTGTCTCTACTACTACCTTCACTTTTAAAAGGGGCAAGCTGAGCATCGTATTCTACACTGTGATCCGTTCTTCCTATCTGAGCGCCTTCACTGTCGACCATATCCTCGATAATCTCCTCTTTAATTTCTGCAGCATAATAATCTTCCTGCTGTATGGGAGAAAAAGACAATGATAATGTTAGATATTACAGTATTAACAAACAATATTGATATGTACAGTAAATTTTCCTTTAATTATACATACCCCAATCTCAGATACTGAAAGAGGGTCCTGAGCTTCTTCCTGGTCTTTCCTGCGGTGTCCTTCTTCGTGGGTCACTTGTCTCCCTTTCTCAGTGGGGTTCAATCTGACATTGGGACTTGTGGATTCGTGCATCGTTCTGGTGGTGTCTACAAGTCTTTCCTCTGTTCTGCGTCTTTTAGCAGGGTGTGGGCTGCATCTCTCAGTCCCAGACTCGAGAGAACTTGACTTAGATTTAGCAGGAGCTGGGGGCGTGTCAGGCACTGCCAGGCCCTTGATCTGCAGGACCTCTGCCACTTTTATAAGCATAGCTAGGTTGCTCTGCGGCACACTCACTTCCCCAGCATACATATAGCTCAACAGTGCCTCAAGTTCTCTACACTTAATGTCATTCAGCACAATCACTGGATGTTTACATGGTGTTCTTTCAAATATTTTTTCAAAGTATTCACTACATGTTGACAAGACTAATTTATGCAATGGATAAAAATTTCCCTCACAAGAAAGTGTTACATCTGTGTAGGTTTCCTGTAAAAGGAGAAAAACATGAATCTTATTCTTCATTATCAAAGATTTGCGGTAAAAAAAAAAAAACATGAACTGAATGCATTAAAAAGAAAGAAAGAAAAAAATGCATATTTGCTTTAAGGATGTTACAATATACAATATTCCATACTCATCAAATTATGTTTTTAAAAAATGTACATATACAGCAAGTTCTTACCTTTTCTCTGCATTTACTTAATATATCACAGAAAGTAGCATGGTGATTGTTCCAAGACAGGGATAGCATTCCATCACCCATCTTGGCTAAATATATCTGTTGCTAATATCTCCCAGACTGGCTTTTATCCTAGAATGAAAAAAATATGGATTAGGATATATTTTCAGAAATTCACAAATATACAGGAAACAAGGATGTTAAAAAAGGTTATGTAGCATGTATGTAGTGACACACCTAGTCACACAAGCACATATTACCACTTTGAATATGCACTTCCATATTCTTTACCAAATTACTTGTTTATTATACAACTGATAGGTTTTATATGATGTTATTCCAAATGTCAAACTATTTTAAAATGGCTACAAAAAAAAAATAGTTGTAGAAGGATCAATACCTAGAAAACAGTGTACTATAAAATAGATTTTTTTTCAGAATTTCAGAGCCAAATACGCCAATGAGCAGTGTTTTTGTAACAGAAATCTCCAAAGTACTGCTAAGAAATCTGTATGAAGGAAGAGGAAATTTGCAGTGATTTTTCTTTATGCAGGCTCACACAATGTATAACAATAAACATTTAAGAATCACATCATAAGCTCCTACTGTATGGCAAATCGCAATGGGTATGTAGCCTATCCCAGATTACAACCAATTTCTAAGAACTAAGGGGTCCAGGAAAGATGTTGCAATCCACCGTCAATGAAGATGATAATGTAATTTTTGAGAATATTTCATAAATGAAACTAGGTCTAAAAGTACAGACAATTATTTGAAAAGTATAGAATCATCTTATAAAATATTACTGACTACTGTCATTATTGCTTTGACATTTCATAGCATTACTATGTGACTATCAAGAACCATGATAAAACCCATGCCTAAATTAATACAGATCTGAATTTTCTTCTCATATTTAGATTGCAAATTCCCTACAGATTTCACATTTTCTTAATATATGGGCATATACAAGTGAGCACTGAAGCAAGATCAATCATAAATATGGCTTTTTTTAATTACAAATGAAGGCATGTTTGTCCAAAGGTGTTCTCAAAACAACTGCAAGAAAATGTATTTATCAAAATGTTTGGTTCGTTTAGACTCTTACCTATAACATAAGCATGGATATGATCATGTAAATGCACTCTATCTCATAACTATATGTGATCATTTATGCATTAATGGGATCATATCAATACTATTGTTATAGACGAAAGTTTAAACGGTCAATCTTTGTGGTATGGGCTAAGCTAGGGCAAATCAAAGATGATATTCTTGTAGAAGACAAGAAGCTGCAGTTGTCGGTCAAGAAATAAGGTACAAACACAAATGTTAATGGCACCAATAAAGGAAAAAGATTATGGAAAATGCCCCAACCCCAGGCAATGCCTGAAGGACGCACATAGTCATGGCAACTTAGAATGTTGAATAAAGTTTGTGGCATATAGTTGGGGACTTAGTCTCTGGTAATTGCAACTTTAGTGAAAAAAAATATATATATATATCCATATAAATTAATAAAATCTTTCATAATAGCATGTTTTAGCCAATTGGTCTGAAAATTCCTCAACTGAGAAAAACAAGTTCAATAAAAATCTTTCACAAAGTACAACATGAAGCATTTCCAAACAACAGCACTTCTTCTAAAGAGTATTTCTAGCAATAAAACATACAGAAAAGACTTAAGGAGAGAATAAACTGTGACTAACAAGAACAAAATGTAAAAAACAAAAGAAAAATGTCCTGCATACAAAAACATAAAAAAAGAAAGAAAAAAAAAAAGAAAAGAAACAAGAACAAGGAACAGAGGACAACTGTAAGAAAGAGAGAGTACGAGATCATTGTAGATAAGCAACAAAAGGCTTTAGCTGGACTTTGAGGCTTCAAATAACCTAGAATATAAGGAACTATAGTGCCATCTTTTCTACAGCAACACCAAAAGCTGTCTCGTGATTGGAGGCAAGACACGTTGCAAAGGTGCGCCCACTTCTGTAATGTAATGGAAAGGGTCATGGTTGACAGCTACCTCTTTTACTGTACTTTTTTTTTTTTCATCAGTACACATTCTTTTGGAATATTACATTCCAAGTGGGTTGTACTTTATCATAGATATCTAACATATCTAACACAAGTACGAAAATGCATGAAAATAACCAAGGTAGCAAGAATTCATCTAGCAACTCGATAAATGTTTACCACCTGCTCGATTCCTGTCGTGTGAGAGGTGCCCCATTTGCCGTTACCACAGGGAAAGACGGTACAGGTCTGACTGCTTTTCAAGATCTTTACAGAAAAGTATACTAAAAAATTATGCAATACTTTAATGAGTTTCTCTGACCTTTTAACAGATTCTGAAATATCTGAATGAGTACAAAACAAATACTTGACTGTGAAAATTATCTTCCTGTTGTGTCATCATCGTTAATTCTTTACAATATTTACACACTCAACAGAGACAAATTCCCCACCTCCATTTCACAAAACTGCAAGAGTAGACATCGCTGGGTGGAAACCAGCCCCATACATGGGAGGTTACTGCCACTTAACCCCAGCCCAGAAAATAAAGAATCCTCCACATATTCACAGCAGGAGAGAGCATCAGACAGAAACAGCATCGAGCACTCACGATGTCGGTCATATGCTCTTTCCTGCCATGAATACGTGGAGGAATCTCTGTCTTTCATTGCTGGTGTTGGGGGAGGGAGGCCCACAGGAAGGGGGGTTGCAGGAGGCACAGCCCCCTGTATTAGACAATATAGTGACTGATTCTGTGTATGGGCCTGTTGTTCAAATTTTACCCTCAATTTCTATGGTTCCTTACATGCCTTCCCTTGCTATTGGGGCCAAGATTGTCGCTAGTGGGTGGGTTTCCACGCAGCAATATCAATACATCTAAACAGTAGAGAGTGAAAGGAATCCATCAATCCCAAAATCGTAGCTATAGCTAAATGGATCTACTGCGTAAAATAACCATAATTTTAAAATACACTTGCATTACTATTAACTGCATTAAGTTTTCAAGATGATTATTAGCTTTCCAATTTCAACTCTACCACTGATTCTCAGCATGAAATTGACCGGCTGCCGGCCAGTATCCTACCATGTCGTGACAACAGAAACAATTCTCACGACACAAAGACATAATCCATTTCGAAAATATGAAATACAACAATCCAAATGCAATTCACGCCCTCAAACAATCGCAAATCGACATTAAATACGGCGTTTCCTTGGATGGAGTTGCACAACAAACGAAAAAAATCATGATCCAAACCTTAAATTTAACTTATTTCTCAACTTCCAAATTATGGGGGATTATCTAAAGTCAAATGCACTAGGCAATTATACATTACCCCGAAACTTTAGAAGAAAAAGAGTAAATATTTGTTATTTTTTTGACAGAATCACAACATCCTACATCGGTGTTGCCAATGCGAATTACG